GCTACTACTACTACTACTACTACTACTACTAATACTACTACTAGTACTACAGGAGCGTTTCCCAACTAGTATGTGTGTGTGGGTGATGCTGTGTGCGCATGTCTGCGGCGCAGGTTAAGTGGTGTGACTGTGTGTGTGCGTTTGAGTGTGCGCCCATAATTTCTGCGTCTGGAGAATAACCCCGAGCGACCCTGCTCGCCGAGCTGGCGGGGTTAGCGTGCCCTCGCTGGCACGCCTCCAGCTCGGCGCAAATTGCCCGAGGACAGCGCCCACGAGAAAATCTCAGAAAAGCCAAGCGAGAAACGGAAAGCCATCACAAACATATAACCGGACACAGAAACAACACGGACAGCCAATCAACCCATACACGGAAAATAAAGCATTGACCGGAACCAATTTGATTGGACACCGTTTTGTTGTCGATTTGTGTTGGCTCGTAGGTTCCACTGGCGTGGCACGAAGCCATGGCGCGCTATTTTCCCACCCTCGCCTCCTCATCTCCGTCCTCCTCTTCATTTTGGTTCAAGCCTCGTTGCGCTGTCTCCCGAGATCGCTCCTTCTCATCATGCTGTTTCAAACCTCGTTTGACAGTCCGCCGAGTTCACTCAATTCCCTCCTCCTGCTGTCGTTCTCCTCTTTCTTCTTCAGGCCTTTCACCCGTAGGTAAGGCCGCCCTTTGCTGGACGTCCCAGGGGCTCATGAGAGCGGCGAAAGTTAAGCGGTTGGCAACCGCCAGGGAGTGGAATTCCAGCTTGGGTCTCTGTAAGGCGACTCTCCGCTGGACTTCCCAGGAGCCCGCTTAAATAGCTAAAGGTGCGCAGTTGGCAGCCCCCAGGAAGGGAAGGCCCTGCTTGGATCTTTGTCAGGCCGCTCTCCGCTGGACGTCCCAGGAGCCCACGAAAGTGAAGAAAGTTGCGGAGGTGCAGACCCTCAGGGAGGGGAGGTCCAGTTTGGATGCTCGCATACACGCCGTCCGCCGCTGGACCTCCCAGGAGCTCACGAAACTGGCAGCAGATGTGCATTTGGCAGCCCCCAGGGAGTCAAACTCCAATCTGGCCGCTCTGGTCGTAATGAGGCTGCTAACCCGGGTTGCTAACCCCGCGGGCGACCGGTCAGACAGGCACCCATCTTGAAGCAAAGCGACGCGGCACGCTATCCCCGAAACCGAAACGCACGCTATCCGCACATGTATCGTCAAAACACGCTCACAATGTAAATTTACATCAGAATATTGTTTTTTTGGCTTTAGGGGATAGCGTGCGATTCGGAGATCAATGTAGCACGCTATATTTCCGCCCCCAACCGTAATCACCGTCGCCGCCCCGTCGCCGCCTCGTCGCCGCCCGTCGTCTGGGCCTGTCTGTCGGTCTGGCGGCTAGGTCGTCGCCGTCGCCGCCTGGTCGACGCCTCGTCGCCGCGCTTTGCATCATAGTTCATTGCACAAAACAGATTGCATCACGTATATTGTTTCACGCAGAATTTCCTGTTCGAATGTTTCGCATACATTGTGCAACGTAGATGGCGCCAACTCGACTGCACCACACATTGCACATCAAAACATTGCACCACCTCTAGTTCATAACGTCGGTTGCTGCACGTAGACTGCGCCATACAGCTTGCGCCACATGATTGTACTATAGGTATATGCATATAACGCTCCGCTGTTATCCCGCAACCTAAAATGTACTACATAACTTGTACTACAGATGTTGCATCACATAGATTGGACAGCCGATACATATACATATAAATCTACTAGAACCATCGCGCGCTTCGCGCGCGCTCAGCTTCTACCAGGCCCCAGGCCTTGACGAATTCACTGCTCCACTGGGAACGTGGGTTTTGGAGGCGTCTTGGGGAGCCGGTTGGGGCGTGCCGTCGTCATTGTAATGTCGTCGTCGCCTCTTTGGGCGCGCCGTCGTCGTCGTCGTCGTCCTCGTCTTCGTCGTTTCGTCGTCGGCTCAAGGGGGCACGTGGGGCAACTTTGTGCGAACCGATCTGCGAGGGGCCGCGAGAAAACGATCAGTCATGTTCCCAGTCAACTTCCCAAGCAGCTCTCCAGTAGCGTGATGGTACTTCGGAGCCTCCAGAGACTCTCGGGCCCATGATGAACCATGTCCACGGAATGTTCTCTGGGGACATGATTTGTTGGGGTGTGTTGGGGGGCCTATTGGGCGCTCCCTGGGGGGCCCTTGGGGGCCTCCGGGAACTCTCGGGCCCATGATGGACCATGTCCCCGGAAGGCTTTCTGGGGATATGATTTCTTAGGGTGTGTTAGGGAGGTCTCTTGGGCGTTCCCTGGGAGCCCCTTGGGGGTCTCTTGGGGCTTCCTGGGGGCCTCTTGGGCGCATCGCAGGGCTTCGTGGGAGCCTCTTGGTGGCCTCCAGGGGCCTACTGGGGGCCTCTAGGGCCAGAGACCTCGAAATATCGGTTGGCGGTCCCCCTCTGAGCACCCTCTTGGGGAGCTCTTGGGGCGCACTTGGGTTGTCTCGCGAGCCGCCTGGGCCACCTTGGGGCCCTCCTCGCGGCCTCGTGGGCCGTCTTGGAGCGATCTGAAGGGCATCCGAAGCCGTTAGGGAGCGATGGGAAGCGGGGAAAGCGAGAACGCCCAAATCCTTCAAACACCATAGAACAATTCATGAATTCCGCCTCCCAAGGCCCTCTTGGGGAGCCTCTTGAGTCCGTCCTGGGGCGTCTTGAAGTCCTCGTCGGCCGACTTGAGGGCATCTTTGAAGGGGCCCTGGGACACACAAATAAATACACACAAATAAAAAGATGCCCCATATTTTCCCATATTTTCTGGGTTTTTGTCTTCCAGCCCAATTCCCATATTTTCCCATATTTTCTTGGGAATCGACGATTCATTGTGTCTGTGTGTTTTTTCCCCTCCTGAATCTTGGGCGTCTCCTGGGCCTCTTGGGAGCGTCTTGGGCACTCTCGGGACCCCCTTAGCCAGCCGTGGCCTGTTCCGGGGCGGGCCCGCGCTGCCTCGGGACCCCTCGCCCCGTCTTGGGGCGCTCTTGGGGCACACTTGTGCTGCCTGGGGGGCCTCCTGGGCCTTCTCGGGTCGGGCGAAAGGGGGGGATAGCAAAGGGGGGGTTTGAGAATCAGCTCACGTAGCTGATTTTCCCGGCGCCTCCCGGCGCCGGGGCGCCCATGTATCGAGGAATGGGCCCCTCGGTGAGGCCGAAACCAGCTGCATGCAGCAGATTTCGTAACCCCCCCTTTCCCAATCCCCCCCTTTCGCCCGACCCGAGCCTTCTTAGGGCCCTCTTCGGGGCCTCCTGGGCCGTCTTGGAGCGATCTGAAGGACCTCCGAGGCCGTGAGGGAGCGCTGGGAAGCGGGAAAAGCGAGAACGCCAAAATCCTTTCAAACCCTCGGAACATGAATGAATTCAGCCTCCAAGGGTCCTCTTGGGTCTTGGGGAGCCTCATGAGTGCGTCCTGGGGCGTGTTGGAATCCTCGTCGGTCGTCTTGAGGGCATCTTAAACTCAAGCTCAGGAAAAGCGTTAGAGCGCAGCGATACACGCTGCTGAAAAATTCGCGACGCGATACCAGGTGCCGAAGTGGTCGCGACCCCGGTGATTGTATGTACACGGCCTGCGCGCTCGGTCGAAGTCACTGGCGCTGCCCAGGCTCGGCAGGCCTGCCGAGGAGGCCCGCATCTGCTCGCTAAGCTTAGCCGGCGGGCTCGGCAACATGACTGACTCCACGGTGCCGTCGGTACGAGAGGAGCTGGATGAGGGGGGCCTCGGAGGAGGTTTGGACAGGGGAGGGAGGGGGGGGCACCCATGTGAGCTGGCCCGAAGGCGCTTCGCGGTGCAATCGCAGTGGCAGCCGAAGCCAAGGCTGACGTGCACAAAAACATGGAGAGGGCCATCCTGCAAGCTTGGTTGACAGCGCACCGTTGGGCGGTGCTGCAGCCTCCTCTGATCACAGGCCCCCCCCCCTCAGAGCATCGTCCAGACAAGCCGGGCACGTTTCGGCACTGCGACTGCCGCCGCCGCTTCCCATTCGGCGGCAGCGACAGTGGCGGTGGCCGATGCGGCCAAGCCTGACAGCGCAAAGATGAGGACCGAGAAGGGAGGAAGCAAGAAGGACAGAAGGAGGGTGGGAAAAGGAAGAGAGACCAGAAACGCATCAGCACGGACTTCCGGAAGGCCGCGCAAGCTTTCAGAGGGCCTGCGCTGACCCCCCGTCAGCCCGAAACGATAGGGGAATCATCAAAAGTTGGCCCCACTGGAATTCCCCCCCGCGAAGGGGCTGCACAGGTGCTCCCCGCGAGGGGCCGCAGCAGCAGCGCGCGAGGGGCGTGGCCGTGTCGCGTCCCCCGGGGCGGCGGGCTGATATTTTGGGCGGCGGGCGTAGCGGCGGTGCTGGTCGAGCGCGCCGCCGCGGCCCTGAGCGCCGATAGAAGATGGTCGATCGCACCGCCGCTGCCCTGAGCGCCTAGAAGCAACCGCACAAAAGGGTGACTACTCTGTGTCCTCAAGAGTCCTGGAGGTACCTGTAGTCCGGGGAGGGTACCTGTAGTCCGGGGGAGGGGTACCTGTAGGCCGGGGGGGGGGCCTGTAGTCGGGGGGGGGTACCTGTAGTCCTGTGGAGGGGTACCTGTAATTCGGGAAGAAGGTACCTGCAGTCCGGAGGGTACGGTACCTGTAGTCCGGGGACCCAGAACTATTCAGGGAAAAAGAATACGAATCTCCATCACAAGCTCGCTAGGCCAAGTTCCATCCTACCCCCGCCGCCCATCGAGTTGCCCAAGTCAGTGATCGGCGAGGGTAGGGTTCGGATTTCGCGGTCGATATGACTAAGTTCCATCACAAGCTCGACAGGTCGTCACCCGCTGCTCGGAGCCTCCCCGAGTCCAGCCTTGCTGGCGTGCCGTCGGTCCTTGGCCCTCTGCGCACGCGGGCATGCGCCCGCCCCTTCATTGGCGACCAGCGCAGCCTCTGTACCACCAGGCACATGCCAGTGTCTGCGCGTGAGAACCTGGCTGTTAGGTTGACCTCAAGGGCGACGCCTAATCCGCCGGCCCCCTTGTGGGGCCACCAGGCTGTAGGCGCGAGGTTCGCAGTTTCCTGTACCAGTTGTAACTTGTAGTTTCCAGTGTTACAGTTCTGCTTCTTGCTGGTTACTGTAACTAGTTGATTGACCGCGCGAGGGGGGGGAGAGGCCCAAACCAGATTTTTAGCGTCTCCTGGGCGCGTTGTCTGAATTGCTGGGGGGGCTCGAAATCGACACCCCTTACGCAGATCCGCGGGGTCAGGGTCCAAAAACACAGGGGATTTGCCACATTTCTGAAATTCGGTGCCACCCCTCACGCAGATCCGCGGGGTCAGGGTCCAAAAACACAGGGGATTTGCCACATTTCTGAAATTCGGTGCCACCCCTCACGCAGATCCGCGGGGTCAGGGTCCAAAAACACAGGGATTTGCTACATTTCTGAAATTCGGTGCCACCCTCACGCAGATCCGCGGGGTCAGGGTCCAAAAACACATGGGATTTGCCACATTTCTGAAATTCGGTGCCACCCCTCACGCAGATCCGCGGGGTCAGGGTTCAAAAACACAGGGGATTTGCCACATTTCTGAAATTCGGTGCCACCCTTCACGCACATCCATCGCAAGGCGTGGTAACCCAAACTGCGAGAACTCCCTCGGCCCTTTAATCGCAAGGTGTGGTAACCAAGCCCGTAAACCATACACGTCTTACCAATCGCCAGGTGTGGTAACCCCTCTTGTGATCAGTTGGTTTTGCTGATTGCGAATCGGCTTCGCATGAAGTTTCGATACTGCTTCACGACAGCGCCAAGGCCTCATGACTTAGCTCTTCCATGGCCCATTCTCCGAGAGAGGGGGCCAGCGGCAGGGGGCGAAGCCCTTACGGATATTTCCAGAGCCGGCATGGCTAAGAAACACCAGAAGCTGTTTGTGGAGGAAGCCTGACCACCCTCTGCCCGCGAGACATACGCATCGTGCAACCAAGTTTCGATCTCTGCGTCCTGCGCTTTGGCGAACAGGTGGCACACATCCTGCCCTGTTTCGGTCGTTCCGATAAGCAACTGGAGACCTGGGCTGATGAGACTCGTGATCATCAACGGGTCATCATCATTCACGCACTCCACGACGTCGCACATCACCTCAAGCGCTGAGTCGCGAACCAAGAATTCGCGCCTGCGCACGTTCATTTCGCCCTCATGCGATGGAGTCCCGTCGGTATCAGAAGAGTCATCATTTGCCCTTTGAGTCTTCCTGGTCTTCCCCTTCGTTTCCTGCTTGGCTCGGAAACCATGGACCACAAAATTGAAGGTCTTGGAAACAACATCCGACCAACCAGTCTCCAAATGAACCTCCGCCTTGAACAGGGCCTTGTGCTTCTCGCACTCGGTACAAAACTTGACTCCTGCAGCAGCGTAGCAGGGTCGGCTCTTCCGGTTCTGGGTGCTGTCGGCGAAGTCGCGCACCCATTTTGTGAAAGCGTCCCTCTGCTCCTTGCGCACCCACGTTAGTATCATCCTTTGTGAAGCCTGTAAGCATCCTGAACTCGGCGCTGCTTTTGACCAGCTCAAACTCAATCGAACTGGGATCAAACCACACTGCGGGTGGCCGACATCCTGTTCGAGTGCATGTGTCGTCGCTGTCGCTGCTCTGCTCAGTGGAAGGGCTGGCTCCATCCGAGAAGCTGTCCTTGGCAGCAAGGTAGCCCTCGCCTCGGGACGAGCCCATGGGATGCGAAGAGCACTCGACGAGCCGCGCGGCGGGCGGCGGCCAGGAACGACGGCGTCCGCTCTGCGGGGCGGAGCTCGAGAATTTTGTTAAGAGAAACATCGCGGGCAGATCAGGCGCTTCCTGGAAACCGATCAGGAACGACTCGTTCCCGCCGTCGGCCTGCAAGAACTTCACGCACATCGCCTCGACACTGCACGGGATGGCGGCACTGTCCTTCAGGAAGGTATTGAAAGCTGTGCACGGCCCTGGCATCGCGCTGAATCGGGCGCCGTGAACCATCTCAGCAAATCTTTTGCGTTCCTCTTCGGCGATCAGGGGCAATACGCTCTCGCCCTGGACCTTTGATAGGGGTCATCATCAGCATGTTCGCCACGGTTTGCTCGCCATGAGTAACCTTCAGCTCCTGCCCGAATACTACCACCACGTCACACGTGCCCTGGAGAATAGCGTTTGCAGCTTTCAGCTCGCTCTTGGCTGTCAACGTCTGCGTCTCGCGAAACACCCCGTCAATGAAAACAAGGTTACACAAAATGATCCACGCGAAGATGCCTAAGAAACTTGCAAAAATATTACCATTAATATCTTCGACGTTGCACGCTCCAGAAACGCAAACATGTGCCGTTAGTGGAGGGATTCCCATATCATAGAACTCCCGAAAAAAAATGAGTGGCAAGAAAATGTAATAATACGTAAACGCCCCCGAAACCCACAACGCCCGCCGTATGTCATTCGGGAGTATACACGGAAGGAATCACTAGCGGCGAAAGCCCGAAGCAATACGATGTCACGAAAAACGCGTACCACGCATGCTGAACCCGATGTCCGTGCCGACTGGGAGCAATTGACTCGAAAGACGAGTACATGAAGGGCAATCATCAACACCAATCTCCCATGAGGGAACAGTCACGAAGGGCCATTTGGAATATTGGCAGACCAAAAGGCCTATACCCATGCGTTTGCTTTGCGCTCGCTTCGAAGACACATCATGGTGTCCAGCACAATTGACGCGGAGAACTCTTCCGACCGGCACGAACTCTTTCAAATTGGCCACGCACTCACACGAGCCAGAGCCTGTGCGAAGCTTCAACAGATCTTTCCCCAGCAGTGCGACTAGTTAGACATGTTACCGCAGCTACCTGCGCCGCTGGCTGCATCACATCGATGGGCACCCCCTGCAAGATCCCGCCATCGGGGACCATAGTCGAAGAACCGCCGACCTGCGAGCTTCCGCTTGCGCGGAGCTACAGATGAGGCCAGAGACACTCACTCAAGCTCCGAAGCGGCTTAAGCCAAGACTGCTATGGAAGCGTCTTCGGGACCTCTCGGGAGCGTCTGAGGCCCTCTCGGGACCCCCTTAGCCTGTCGTGGCCTGTTTCGGGGCGGGTCCGGGCCGCCTTGGGAACTCTGGAACCCCACCACAGACCCCGGCGGGCGCCCATGGGGGGAACGAGCACCGGCCCGGCCCCTTCCCTCGGCCTAGTCCGATATGTATGTATGTACGTACGTATGTATGTGCGTATTCAGTATGTATATATATATGTATATACATATGTACATACAGCTTTGGGCTCCCGATCTATATATCCAGGCCAGCAGCGATATGTCGTAGCGACAGACCTTTGCCCTAGGCAAATTGGAGCACACAACTCAACAAAAACCTTTCACTCTGGTTCGGTCTCAGAGAGGACTAAACTCCCGAGGTGCCGAATTCTTACCACTGGAGGCATCGGATCAAACATTACAAGAGCCATATATCTCAGGCGTGGCGTTTAGCTAGCCAAGCTTTCGACGACATAGCGCGTTGCAACATGTCTACATTTCAAACGAAAATGCAAGGCACAACCACGATGTTGACGCAATCGCGCGAGCGTGATGACATGCGTGCCCAATAGATGCTTGATGCCCTGTGGTAAAAACATGACGGGTGAAATCACACCAATGTTGCTGGTATAGACACACATAAACTAAACATGAAAACGGAACATTCTGGCCTGACGACAGATGTCAAGAATAAAGAAACCAACAAAGACGTCAATATCGAAAACAATGATATATCACGTAACGCAACGGTAAGGGCGATACGCGCTGGAGAAACATAGAAGCCACATATAGCCACGAGAACAACCGTTCAGCAAGCAGAAGAAAGGACGGCGTAGAAGGAGGCTCGCACCAACAACGCGAAGAAATTAACGGCGTAGAAACTCCTCTGTAACAAACACGGGCCACGGTTAACGCGCGGGTGAAGCGGCTAGCGGAGCAGCAAAATAACGAAAAACACTGGCGCGGAGTGAATGTGCAATGAGAGACTGAATGCGGCCAGACGTATTTTGCGAAGTTCCGGCGCCCCGAGAGGGCCCAATCAGCTTCGAGGAAAACCTTCGACAGCTCACGGGGCCTTCAAGATGGCCCAACGACGGCCCGAAAGGGACCCAAGACATCCCATAACGCCCTCCAGACGGCCCCAAGAAGGCCTGACGACGGGAACGGGGGGAGGGTCGACGAAGGGGGTCGAGAAGAACGAAGGGGGAGGAGGAACATGAGGGCGATGAGGGAATGGGAAAGGGGGGGAAAAGGAACATCATGCGAGGGAGGGGAGGTGGAGGAGAAATGCGAGAGGGAGGTGGAGGAGCTAGGAGCCGTCTTGCGGCTTCTTGGGGGTCTGCTGAGCCGTCTTGCGATCATCTTGGGCCAACTTGGGGCCATTTGGGGCCGTCTTGGCGGCCCTCGGGGCCATCTTGACGTCATCTGGGGCCGTCCTGGGGCTTCGGGAGCCGTCCGAGCATGCATTAGGGAGCTGTCCCGCCCCAAAGGTGCGATGAGGAGCTTGTGGGCGGTGGACCCCCCATAACAAAATGTTGGCCCCTTGGTGGGGGGGGGATGGGGGACAGCCATGCGTCTCACACGCCTGTTCGCCCCCGGCAAGCTGGGGTCGGCAAGCTGCGTGCAACTGACAGGTAGGAGGCCTGTGCGTGTTCAGCTGTGTTTTGTTCCTAGCTTTTGGCTCTGTGGCTCCGACAGGAACAGGGGGATGACGAGGATCATGACGAGGGCGTTGAGGTTTCTTGATTGTTTATCTGGCTGTGGGAGCCGTCTGGCATGCCTTCGCGGGCGCGATAAAGCCCTTCCCATGGCCACGGCTGGATGGGTGGGTGCGATGCGCGTTCCTTCCGCCGATGTGGGTGCGATGCGAGTCTCTTCAGGGATGCCGTTCCGGGTGCGATGAAGCCCTGCCCCGCCCCTCGCCTTCCTCCCCCCCGTCCTCCTTCTTCCCCCCCCTTCCCCTCCACTCCTCCGTCCCCCCCCCTCTCCCCCACATTCCCCTCGCCTCTTTCCGTCTCTCGCCGCCGTCTACCACTGCGGACGGCGCCCGCCGGGGCCCCGCGGCAAAATCGAGATAGCGCCGCCGACAAAACCGGCAATCGGGCCGACAAAATCCCAGCGATAAAAAACTGTCCCCGACAAACTGGCCCGATGGAAAAACATAACGGCCCGACAACAAAAAACCATCGTCGCGACAAAATCTTCATTTCTCCAGGGCAAAGTGTCCCGACAAAATCCTCCCCTCTTCCCCTGGGCTCCAGCCAAGCCGACCTTGAGCAACCTCGTAATTGAGTCGAAGGGAAGCCCCTTCCCTTTCATCCCTCCCCCGCCGGGAGGGGGGGGGGGGTAGCGACCCCCCCCGGGTCAGATACGACGCCCCCCCCTGGGACTCCTCTTCCCCTGGGCTCCAGCCAAGCCGACCTTGAGCAACCTCGTAATTGAGTCGAAGGGAAGCCCCTTCCCTTTGATCCCTCCCCCGCCGGGAGGGGGGGGGGTAGCGACCCCCCCCCCGGGTCAGATACGACGCCCCCCCCTGGGACTCCTCTTCCCCTGGGCTCCAGCCAAGCCGACCTTGAGCAACCTCGTAATTGAGTCGAAGGGAAGCCCCTTCCCTTTGATCCCTCCCCCGCCGGGAGGGGGGGGGGGGTAGCGACCCCCCCCCCGGGTCAGATACGACGCCCCCCCCTGGGACTCCTCTTCCCCTGGGCTCCAGCCAAGCCGACCTTGAGCAACCTCGTAATTGAGTCGAAGGGAAGCCCCTTCCCTTTGATCCCTCCCCCGCCGGGAGGGGGGGGGGGTAGCGACCCCCCCCCCGGGTCAGATACGACGCCCCCCCCTGGGACTCCTCTTCCCCTGGGCTCCAGCCAAGCCGACCTTGAGCAACCTCGTAATTGAGTCGAAGGGAAGCCCCTTCCCTTTGATCCCTCCCCCGCCGGGAGGGGGGGGGGGTAGCGACCCCCCCCCCGGGTCAGATACGACGCCCCCCCCTGGGACTCCTCTTCCCCTGGGCTCCAGCCAAGCCGACCTTGAGCAACCTCGTAATTGAGTCGAAGGGAAGCCCCTTCCCTTTCATTCCTCCCCCGCCGGGAGGGGGGGGGGGTAGCGGGGGGGGTAGCGACCCCCCCCCCGAGTCAGATACGACGCCCCCCCCCCGTACCGACCTTGAGCAACGTCGTCATTGAGTCGAAGGGAAGCCCCTTCCCTTTCCCTTCCCCGACGGGGGGGGGAGAGGAGGTCCCGGGGGGGGTCCCGGGGGAGTCCCGGGGAAGTCCCGGGTCAGATACGACACCTCCCTCCCCCACCTTCTCGTCCTTCTCCCCGTTCCCCCAAACCATCCCACAGCCCGTGCCTCTTGCTGCGCATTGCGAACAGGGTCGGCGGCACCGGCCGTCAGGCCTTCGCAATCTTCATTTCTCCAGGGCAAAGTGTCCCGACAAAATCCTCCCCAGGATTCGGATGCATTGTGATTCGACAGGGATGGTGCCTCTGCGGCAGTCCCACCAGGCATTTTGTCGAGACGTTTTCTGCGACAATTCCATGTCGGGACAATACAGCGGCGCCTGGCGACGGACTCTTGCGACCTCCGAATGATCAGGGTTTTTGCAGCCGCCGATCCGTCACCTCTGCGCCTGCATCGCATGTCTGCAGCGACGGGGGGCACCTACAGTGCCCCCCCGTCGCTGCTTGTGCGCTCCTCCCCCTGCTCCTCCGCCTCGCCCTCTTGCTCTTCATCGTCCTGCTTCACCTCTCACGCCTTCCCTCCCTCGTCATCCTCATCTTCCTCCCCTCCTTTCTTCCCCATCCCCTCCCTCCCGCCTCTTCGTCTCCTACGCTTGGAAGGCGGAAAGATACGGATACGTGTTGTCCCCGGACCTCTCTTGGGGTGCGTTCTGACCAGAATTTCGAGGCGAATCCAGCGGTGACAACGAGGATTCCCCAGGAGGACCAGGAAAGGCCGAAAACGAAGGGGGACAACACGTATCCGTATCTTTTTCTCCCCCGATACGCCTCCTCGCGCTCCACCGCGCCCTGCCGCGAGCGCGGCGCTGGTCGCGGGTCGGGCCCCCGTGGGCGACGGGCGCGCAGGGGCGGGCCCGCCGCCGCGGGAGGAAGCCCCGGGGCCCGAGCCCGGCAGGCCGGAGACACATCCGTTTTCTTGGAAGGAGGAGAAGGAGGAGAAGGAGAAGGAGGAGAAGGAGAAGGAGGAGAAGGAGGAGAAGGAGGAGGAGGAGAAGGAGGAGAAGGAGGAGGAGAAGGAGAAGGAGGAGAAGGAGGAGACACATCCGTTTTATTGGAAGGAGGAGAAGGAGGAGCAAGGGG